CATGAATTTGATCCCTAGTATCACAAAAGAAAAATTTAAAAAAGATGTTTAGGGCTGGGGATGTGGCTCAAGCGGTAGCGCGCTCGCCTAGCATGCGTGCGGCCCGGGTTCGATCCTCAGCAGCACCACATACCAACAAAGATGTTGTGTCCGCCGAGAACTAAGAAAAAATAAATAAATGTTAAAATCCTCTCTCTCTCTGTCCCCCCCTCTCTCACTCTCTCTTTAAAAAAAAAAAAAAAAAAAAAAAAAAAGATGTTTATATGTTTTCAAAGAGTTGAAAACTACCACCACTACACCAACAAAGCAAAATTCAACTGAAATAGTAAAAGAAATAGGTTTTACTGGTGGCTGCAGTCAGAATTATTTAACATATTAAATAAATCCAGGGGTTATGAGCTAAGAACTGAAAAACTAATGTGACTCCATTTTTAAAAAATAAATAAATAACAGCAACTTCTACCTCAAGGCCTGTCCTAAGGAAGGGGGCATGACCCTTGTACTTGGAAAAACCCACAGAGCACTCCTAAGTACATACCCACCCTGCTGAGTTGTTTGTCTGTAAATAACAGGAGAGGTCTGTGATGCCACCTGTCCCTGACTCAGGCTAGGTGAGAACCATAGCAAACCCCCTAGCAACCTCCAATCAGCATGAGACAGGGAAAATACCTGAAATGCCAAATGACCCCCAAGTAGTTTATGGTGGTTGATAACATGTTGGGAAACCATGTAGTTTAGCACGAACACCCCTCTTGGCCTAAACCAATCAGTTCAAAGGAATCCTCCTCTTGTACTGACCAATCACCCCTACCCAACTTGTTCCCGCCAGTGAATGTGCTAATCAATGTTAAGAGTTGTTGTTTGACTTTCCCTCGGTATGGAATGATTTGCTGTGTGATGTTGTGACGCATAGAGTATCCCCCCCCAAACCTATAAAATCTCACTGAACAAAGTACCGGGACTCACTCCCTGGGACCGCTGCTTCGAGAACGGTTGTGAGTCGAGCCTCCAGCTTGCAAAAATGACTCTTGTGTGCTTGTATCGGATTCGGCTCCTGGAGATCTATTTGGGTCTCACGAATCTGGCATAACAGAACCATCCACTTGGAGAAAATGAATGTGGAGTTCTATCTTTGTTGCAGGAAAACATCTAGTCTTGTGATCAATAATTTGGTCATCAAGAAACTTCTGTGCACTGATATGAACCTAACTTCAACAGTCTTCAAATGGGTGGACAGAATTGTTTTTATCTCCTGAAGCTTACTAATAAATTCATGACACTGACATTTTAACTTTAAACTTGGAAATCAATTTGCACTTTTTTGGTAAATTCTGTTCTAAAAGTGCGAAAATAATTTGCTACACTGAGTAACAGATTATCTTTGTATTTTAATTAAAAATGTTTAATTTGGAGATTGATTTAGACCTGTAAATTTTAGTTTTCAGTAGTAAGATAATCTTAACTAAGCTTCTAAATGCTATAGGTATATCTAAGAAAACCATGCCTCATCAAATCTAAAAGTTTAAGAGTTATCAAACACTTAGGAAAGTTTGTTAACTGAGAAATTTTTACAAATGTGGCTTAACATATTTCAGATGCATTATATTTAAAACCCTTTAGAAGCAATTATTACACACTTGTATTTGTAAATTGCTTTCAAAACTTAAGAAACTTAAGTTTTCAAACTTGTAACTTTGATAAATGTGAACATGTTTTTAAAAAGTAGTCCCTGAATAATCAGTTTGGGGCACAAAAGTCACTATCAATGGCATCAATTCTTTTTATATTTTGAAATTTTCCATAAGAAAAATTTAAAAAGGAAGTAGAATAATTTCCATATTTTTTATTTAATACAAAACAAAAAAAACAAAAATTCACTATGATATAATTCTAATTGCAACGCCCCTCCTAATATAAATATATATCTGTGTGTGTGCGCATGCATACGTATACACACACACACACACACACACACACGTACATGTTATACACCCACATACAGAACTAACAAAAATCTTGAATCCAATATATATATAAAGAATTCCTACAGTAAACGAAAAGCCATTAAAAAATGGGCAAAAGACTTCACAAAGTTTGGTCAAAAAGGAAATGCAAACCACCAGAAACTGCTATACACTCCTAGAATGTCTATAATTAAAAAGAGAAATCTAAAGGTCAGCAAGACTGTGGAGACAAAGGAAATTCCCATATACTTCTGGAGGCAATATAAACTCTTGGTAAAAGAAATAATTTCTTTTACAATTAAATATATATTTATCCTGACTCAGCATTTCTATTCATTAGGTATTTTCCAAGAAAATAAAAATTATGTTCACAAAGAATTGTAGGAGAATGTGCATAGTAGTGGGAGCTTGGGGTGTAGGTCAGGGTAGAGAGAGGGCTTGACTAGCATGCTGAAGCCCTGGGTTTGATCCAAACAAAATGAAACTAAATTAAAGTAAAAACAAAAGGAATGCGCATAGTAGCTTTACTCAAAACAGCTAACCACTTGGAAACCAAGTGGCCGTTAATAGGAGAATGGACAAAGAAATTGTGGTTTTATTCACACAATAGAATACTATTCTGCAATAAAAAGAAGCAAACTGTGATATACTCAACAACATGAACAAATCTCAGAGACATTCATTGAGCTGGATATAAGACAGTACACATTAATTTCATTTATATGAAATTTTAGGACTACAGTCACTATAGCAGCAGAACAGCTGGAAGGAGAACTAATAGGGAAGGGAAACAAAAAACTTTCTAGGTAGATGTCAATGTTCTATATCATAATGTGGTGTAGGTTCTGTGAACGCCTTTAATTATTAAAACCATAAAAGTATAATTGACTCAATCAGTGTATGTAAATTTTGAATTGAGACAGAAATAAAAATAGTTAAATGGGAAGTACAGAATGATAGTGTCACGTTACTAAGTTGGGTGATGAATACATGGAAGTTTGTTATATTATCCTATTTTCTTTTTATATTTTGAAATTTTCCATAAGAAAAAATTTAAAAAGGAAGTAGAATAATTCCCATATTTTTTATTTAATACAAAATAGGGAAATCTTATTTATTATCCCAATTAAAATAGGCAACCATGAAAATATGGCTATTTTACATTACCAAAATTCTAATAAGAAATTAAATTGGATTATTTTGTGGGTTTTTTTTTGTGGGGGGGGCATCGGGGATTGAACTCAGGGTTACTTAACCACTGAGCCACATTCCCAGCCCTTTTTTATATTTTATTTAGAGATAGAGTCTCACAGAGTTGCTTAGTGATTTTCTAAATTGCTGAGACTGGCTTTGACCTTGTGATCCTCCTGTCTTAACCTCCCAAACTGCTGGGATTTAGGCATGCACCACTGCTCCCAGCCTAGTTTTGGGATTTTAAGTGATGATTGTTTTTTTATATATAAAATGATAGAAGTTATCGCTTTGGTAGTTTTTTCACACCTAAATGTTCAAAACACTTTTACTCTTTCAATTTAGTTTTCTAGTTACCTAAGAGAAAAAGTTATTTAGTTAGTCTTAGGTTTAATAGATGCTAGAACTATTGCCTACACTTGTAGCCAAAAGAACTTCTTTAAGTTGGATGTTTTCCTTTTGAATAAATCTGTAGGAAAAAAAGTCCACTGAATGTGTAAGCCTATTTTTTGGCGCAGTCTACAACAACAGGATCTTTTTGACTTCCATGGAAGGGTTCTCACTGCATGGAATCTTAAATTGAATTTTTCATTAATATAGTATTTTAAACAGCAAGTATAAAAAATATCCCCAGTGAATTTCTTCTGGTATCAAGTTCATCTTAATATTTCCAAAGGCTCTGACCCAACATTCTATGATGTGAACAATTTTACCCCCTACGTTTTTATGTTCTTTCACAATAACCAGTCAATGTTTACATTTTTTCAACCAATTGTTGTTCGTTCAAATGATGTGTTAACTTTTAAACAAAGGTTATCATGTGCAAATATCAGATTGATTATTTGCACTAATGGAGAATAGCTGTAAAAACCTGTAAGTCTTACAACATGTAATGTTTTTTATGTCTACACAATTGTATCATTAATATAGTGCCTAGAACTGAAGCAAATAAAAGGATCTAATAACTACTATTTATTGATTTTCTAAAAATACACTAATAAATTGATGTTAAGAAGAATTAGTCCTGCATTGTCTCAGACTATAGAATGAAGAATTACACTGATTATAAAATAAAAAAAATCTCATGTCTTTTAAAAGAAAGTTAAAAAGTTTATGACAATTTGGGTTGAATAATGCCAGAAATCAAGTCTTAATTCTATTTTAAAGACAATAAAAAGTGGACCTCAGAAAAGTTAAACTGGCTTGATTTAGGGTAGTGAATAGGAAAGTTATGATTAAAATTAAAATGTAGATCTTATCCCTTTAAGCAATACTAATTTCTCTTTCTTTCTGGTGCTTTCTAATTAGACATAATAGTGGAATTCATTATGCCTTACTTGCACATGCACATTACATAATTTGATTAATCTTATTCCCCAGTAAAAACAATACTAATTTCTTATGTCTGAAACACAATAGAAAAAGATATACTTTTATTTATCATGTACAATGTTTCCTAGCTTGAATACTATTTCAGAATTCTTTTTATACTGTTTAAAACCACTCATTCAGCCCTGCCTTCAGATGATTACACATAGTCTCAGCTGTAATACTCCTAGTCTCCACCAGGAGGAGAGTTTGTTTAAAAGAGTCAAAACCAGACAAATTACAAATGACAAGAACCAGAACTTTATTCCCAACTCACCCATTTATTTTAAAGTACCACTAACCAATTACTACGCTAATAGAAGCTTTCCTTTGCCAAAATTTACGGTTCTTCTACAATGTAATATAGTCCATGACTTTTTAAAATGGGACCTAAACTGTACCTTTGAATCAGGTTTTAATGGAAAAAACTAATTCAAAGCTTAAAAAAATGTACAAAATAAACAAATTTTTGCTCACCATTTTTGCTTCTGACTGTTGTACTGGTTGAGGGGAGGAAGGGCCTGGAATTCCTGGAACACTAGGCACCATGGTGACTGGTCGAACAAGCTATGCAAAAAAGATATTGAAAAATATTTTCTATAGAATATTTTCAAAATGAGATTTGTATTTTTATTTGTATAATGGCTATTACAATTTGAAACATTAAAATCACAAAATTATAAAACTTATCTCTAGCTGATTATATCTCTACACCAAATCCTGCTTTACATCCAGATATATCCCTCAAAAGTTGTCAGTTTCTCTGAGACAGGTGCTTCCCTAATCTTCAATTTTCATGACTTCTTTAATGTTTCTTATAAAAACTCATAGTATTGGAAGTGATTAATGCAAAATTTCTCACAAATCTGTCACTTTCATTTTGCATTTGAAAGAATGTCAAAACTAGTGACAATAGGCATAAAAAATAATTTCAACAATGAACTCTGCTTTTCTAAAATATATATTTGTATATGAAAATTTTCTAAAATATGATTTCTTTGATGTATCAATATATTGGATAATGACAAAGAAGATGATTACTTCTAACAACTTCTCAAATAATCTGGAACAGATTTTACCACATTGGTTTTTAACTAGTACTATATAAATAAAATATACCTCTTCTTTCATTTTTAAGTTGCTGTCATCACAGATACAATTAATAGGATAACCATATAATCTCAAATACAAGGCAAAAATGTTTTCTATCTCAAAAATATCCTCAGCAAAAAGGAAGAACTTGTATTTGAATATTTTACAAAAAGTCTTTCCAATAATATATTTTGAACAAAAGTTTTGTTTTGAAGAAGTCTTATTATCTTAAAATTATCCCAATCAATACTGATTTTGGATACTTAGATCACTTGGAAGAATTAAAGTATTAAGCATTTAAAAAAGTATAAACATAATATTAATCTCTTAATATTTCTGGGGGTATAACTGTATTCAAAGTATCTGTTGTTATAAGTAGGCTTTTAAAAATAATTTTAAAAAGAAATACAGTGTTAACATTACTAAATGTCACCATTTAAAAACTAAACTTTTTTATTATATAAATGAGTATCTAAGGCTTTGATAAGATTTCCAGGAAACTACAGATTCAAAAACTATTATAAATAATTTAGGTGAAAATGAAAATGATGTGCTTGGAAAACTTTATTAGATATTTAAAACAGTGGTTCTCAGGATGAAAATGTGAAATGTTGACACATTTGGAAAGTATGAATTAAACTGTATAGTAAACATGAGAGTAGGGCAGAGTGTAATGGCACATGTTTGTAATCCCATCAGATCAGGAGGCTGAGACAGAAGGACTACAAGTTCAAAGCCAGCCCCAGTAATTTAGCCAGGGCATAAGCAACTCAGCGAGACCTTGTCTCAAAAAATAAAAAGGAAGAATTGTGGATGTGGTTCAGTGGTTATGTACCTTTGGGTTCAGTCCCTGGTACCCCACCCACTGCCCACCCCCAGAAAGTGAGTAGGAAAAAAGCATTATTTCTAAGTGACAGCATTTCACAATGTGTTTTTAAATTATCATTAAACTATTAAATATCATAAATAGTTATTTGACTATTTTGTCCATGTCTTCCAAAATTTATATAATGAACATGCCCTTCAAAAAAATCTCTTGGATCTTTTCATTACAAACTGGGAGACTACTACTTCAGCACATTTAGATTTTAACATGCTTGGGCAATCAAATTCTGTAAAACTAATTGGACCATAATGGCTCACAGAACCTTTATGAGGTCTTTATAAAGAACTTTTATAAATAAATAGAAATGCCATAGAATTATTTGATAGCATTCTAGTATTAGTATCTTTAAAATTAGAACTCTGGGGCTGGGGATATAGCTTCATTGGTAGAATGCTTTTTTTTTTTTTTTTTTTTTGCCTGGTATGCATGAGGCCCTGTGTTCAATCTGCAGTTAAAAAAAAACAAACACAAAAAAACCCCTTCAGAAATCAGAAATACCTGAATTCTACTAATGTAGGCAAATTGAAATGAACTGAACAAGGGGTGGAGTTCTTAGTATTAAAAAAGAAAAAAAAAAAGCAGGAAATCAAGATTTGAATGGGAAGAAAAACTGTTTTCTATCCAAATACATTTGCCTACAATAGTATATTTTATTACTACAAATATCAATAAGTAAATATTACCCACCACTAATAAGTATTTTGTTAAGTTTAGTTTCAGCTAATGAAGCAGTTCCAAATATATTTTCTAACTGCTTTACAAAAACCAGTTTGCTACAAGACTTAGTCTAACTTTACAACTTACTGGGACTGCAGCTGGAACATGCACATTAGAACTTGTAATTGATGCAGGAATAGCAACAGGCATGGTTTGTCCATTAGGGAGATGTAACAGAAGAGGAAATGGGCCTGGTACAGGGCTAAGAAAAACAAAACAAGGGAAATTTTAAAAAAGCCATGACAATTATCCCTTTAAAAAACAACAGTACTCTTATTCCTATTAATTTAAAAATCTTAAAAATTATTAAAAAATAAATTTTCTAATCATTGTAAAGCAAACTGCAAAATTTAATTAGTTTTAATTGTATCTTAAATGTAGAATCTATTCAACAGTGTTAAAAAATGGAAAAGATTATAGATTCATTTGGGACAATATTCTATAAAATGGGAAAAATTCTCATCAAAAAGCTCTTGGAAGCTACTTGCAAGAACTGAAAGAAATGTTATCTGATAATGTAGTAATTGTATGTTTTTCTTTTTTTTGAAACAGCATGAAAATAAGAGATCATTTTAAATTCATATCCTATGATGATTTGTTTTTAACTAAGATTTAGATATTTATTTTCTAATCTATAAATAGTATTTACAGTAAAAAAAAAAATCAAGTTTTCTGAAATCAAAATATGCAGATCTCTCTCTCTCTCTCTCTCTCTCTCTCTCTCTCTCTCTCTCTCTCTCTCACACACACACACACACACACACACACACACAAACACTAAGGTCACAATTTGAATAATTAAATGTCTTAAGAAAAATCTAACAATACAGTCAATGACTGGCCAAATCACTTACACAATTGGCCTGTTGGAGGATGGTGCCTGGGTGATTACAGTACTTGAGGTTGGTGAAGGTACTGCCTGCTGAATAATTACACTGGAGTCAGAACTTGTGAGCAGCACATTGGGAACCTGTAATGATGCTGGACGAACAATAGCTGATGTGGGTTGTGCTGTTTGTGCCAATGGTACTTCCTATTTAATAATGAGATAAAAAAAAGGGTGTCAATTATAATGCAAATCAATTTGTGTACCCTATTAAACAGAATGAAACATATTTCTAAAAGCATCCACAAGATAATACTTGAACACCCAAAATCAAATTAATTGAAAGTACATTTTAGGGGATTGGGATATAGTTCAGTGGTACAGTGTTTGTCTAGCATGCGTGAGGTCCTAGGTTCAAATTCCAGCATCACAAAACAAGCAAAATTTAGAGGCAGCTGTGAAGCACTATGCAGTGCTCAATAATTTAATTTTTAACAACTTTTTTTTTCTCCCAGAATAACTGTGTTTCTATCAATCTATAAAAAATTAGGCTGAACAATTTGGCTATGATTTAATGAGAATTTCAATAAAATATGCAAATACAATCCATTTTCAGGAATCACAGAACACAGAATCCAAAAGGAATTGCCTAATCATACTCCCTCATTATACTGTATGGACAGGAAACCAGTATAGAGAGATTATGTCATCATTAACCAAAATTCAGTAAGAGAAATGCTCAAAAATATTTTAAAGCAACACAAATGTTTGCTAATAGGTAGCTACCCCTCTAATAGCCATAATTTCTCAATATCAAAAGGCCAATATTGCTATCTTGAATGTAAAATAAATAATTACTGGAGTAAGACCTTTCTGTATTAAACGGAAAAAATAATTTATGACTCAGCCAGAGCCTTAAAGGTATTCTTTTCCCCAGTTTCACAGATTAGCAAACAAAGAGATTAGGGTCTTACTCACAACTCCTTAACTAATTGGTATAAAAACTGGGTACAGTATGTTCTTTAAATTGGTCTATACACTGCCACTTACTGTGGAATTCTTACTAAGGTACATAGAAGAAGGAGCTTCATTTACTCAAGAAGTTTGAGAACCTGTAACATGTTCTCAAAGACTGGAAAGAGAGATAATAAACTAAAACAAAACAATTTAGATTGTTAACAAGTGTGAAGTGTAACAGAATAATAAATGCAACATAATAAATAGTGGAAGATCTAAGGGTTAAAGTAGAGTTGGATATTTTAGATAGAATAAGAGAAGGTAAGCTGTTTTGCCAAATGATATCTGAACTATATTGAAAGAGTAAGGAGGAAAGCATGCTAAGAAGAAGGAAGTAATATCACAAGTAATATCTCAAGGCAGGAAAAGCTTACAGTACTTGATGAACACAACAGAGGCAAGAGGTTGAGGATGAATGAATAGACAAGTTTAGATCAGAGAAGGCTTATGTTAAGGAGTGTCAATTATCATAAATACAATGGCAAAGTATTGAAGTATTTTTCAGCAGTGGAGCTGCTTTATTTATTCATTCATTCATTCATTTATTTATTTATTGGTGCTGGGTATTGAACCCAGGGCATCCAGCATGCTGAAGCAAATGCTCTACCACTAAGCTATATTTACAGCCCCAAAGTATTTTTTAAAATATTTTTTCATGTTGATGAACTTTTTTTATTTTTTTATTTTTTTATTTTTTTTTTTATTTTTTTTTTTTTGTTGTTGATGAACTTTTATTTTATTCATTTATTTATATGTGATGTTGAGGATTGAACCCAGTGCCTCACACATGCTAGGCAAGATAATTATCTGTAAAGGTAGAATCTTTTTCCCCTGAAATGTTGAATATTCACAAATATAAGGTGACAATGAATTTTATATAGTTTAATACACTGACATTTTGTAGAGATTAAATAATTAAACTTTACTGGGAGCACCAATTTTTTTCCACTTAACTTGTATTTCTACTACACAAATATATTCCTAACCTTTTCATCACTGGTAGTAGACTCTGGATGAGGTAAAGGACTATCCTGGTGAGTTGTTTCCACAATAGATGGTTCCTCAATTTTGCTTCTTATGATGGGTGTTGCAAGAGGGGACAAATCTAGAGGCATCTAATACAAACAACAAAGAAAATGTTATAAGTTCAAAAACTATATCAGTATGTCTAAATTAAGAAGCAGGAAATTTATACGATCATTACTTTTCCAATCAGAAGTATTCTTTAAGTTCACAGTTAACAACATACTTTTTTAATGTCATCTTCTGAAGCCTTCTTGAATTCATTCTCAAATGGACTTGCCAACTCATTAAACAAACCCACTTCTTCACAGTTTTTCAAGAATCTTGTTGGTGTTGGGGTCTGATCTGAAATAAATGTCAAGAAGTAATCATGCAGATTTAAATACCACGTTAAGACTTTCTAAAATATAGCTAGTAAATTAACAAATCAGCAGGACTGGTTCAATCAGTTGTTAATGCTCTCTTTGAAATCTCTTCCTTTAAAACAAATAAAATTTGGTTAAGTTTTTGTTGAACTTAAAAATATTTTCTCCAACTTCATGAACCATAAAAATATGAAAGAAATCCTTTTGATTCCATAGTCCACTCCTCTCTGAGTGGAGTGGCAAAAACATACTCTACTCTAGAGATAAACTATTATCCTAGTGATTAGAATTTTAAAAATTTACATTAAAATTGTAATTGTTTAAATACATGCAATTTGGGAAAAAGTAGAGTAAGAGCATCTATATTTGCTTTAACTTGACCCTTCTCCAGTTGTTTATAATTTAGTCTTAAAAACATTAAGATAAAATATAATCTTTAATATTTAATAGGTGGACCAAAATACTACAAGAAAGAAAAAGAAAGTTAAAATGAGAGCCCTAAAAACAAAAGCAGCCCTCTTCACTATTGTCAACTGAAGTTCATTTTCTATTTTAATGCATTTTACAAAACTGGTATGAGGAGTATGTTAGAGTCAAGTATCAAAAAAAGTTCTAGCTTAATTTTTACAACTAACAATTACTTTCTCACAAATTGAAATATTTCCAATGTACTTCAGTAAGTACTCATGTTAGGTACATTAACATGTTTATGTATTGTTTATAGAATAAATACCAGTTAAGGCCCATGGTTAATGAAAAATAGTAAATTTATAAAATTTAACCATTTAATCTTATTATTTTCAAGGCTCTTTATTCATAGTAATTAGAATTGGTAGTGTATTTAAATTTCATTCACATTTTATATACTTTAGAGCATCGATTTTATAGGTTATAACAGGAATCTAGTCTAAACTAAATAAATGTTTAGACTACCAAGGTCAACTCCTGGTTTAAGAGAAAAGCCAAAAATATTTTTTGTGAAAGTAAAATTCTTGTACTTGTTAACTATTGTTTTCCCAAAGTGGGCATTACTATTTTATCTTTTTCACCACAGGTATACCCAGAGTAATATTACATATAAATACATTTTAACACTAAAATGACCTACTTGTCACATACAATAGATATAATTTAAACCTGTCTCAGACACTATTAGTAATATCAGAATTACTTTAGGGACTCTGCTATGTCATAATTTTACGTGTAATTAATCTTTAACCTATGTCCTACTCCAACATCCAAAAGACTTCCAAAATCATATTACAGTAGGGGACTTGCATACATACATCAGCTTAAGTCCCTCATGACTGTATTAATAAGTCAAATATGACTTGGACTCTTCTGTTTACAGCCAAAAGATTTGTCTATCTAAGCTTATTAAAAGTTTCTTAATTTATATTAAAGGGATGGAAAGTCTTAAAAATGCATAAGTATAAGTCACTTTTATTGATTATTAGAACCATCAGACTTGAGACAAGTCAAGATAGGCACGATCGTTTGTATATGGCTACCGATCAAATATATACCACATACATCATGCATTTTATTTATACAGTAATGTTAAACAATCATCTCAACATGTCAGTAAAAAAATGTTCAAGTGTTGTTTGTGCTATATTTTTACACTCTATGAAATGTGATCAGATAGGAAAATAATTTCTAGAAACCAATTTCAAAACATTTTATGAATTCAGAACTTATACAGAAAAAAAATGCTCTCAGGGAAACAAAAACCTTTATGTAGGGAGTAAACTTTCCAGGTTATTTTTCTTGCTTTTTTCTTTTTATTTTTTTAATTCTAGCTCTTAATATCTATAATATTCCAAAGAAAGGCTCTTCTCTTTTACTTATAGGACTGAAGATAAGTTGAAAGTTTCCTTAAAAAAACTTACCAACTTTTTGTTACCTCCAATTTCTTCATTACAAAAATTTAGATACTGAAAGTACAGGACGAGCCATCCAATATTGTCTTATTATCTACCCAAAGCATTGTATATGACAATTTAATCTCAATACTCAGTAATAATTTTAAAAATACTAATAATATTCAGGTATAATTCCAAAATTGCAAACAGTATAGCCTAAGCTTCACAAGAGAAAAAAAAAGAATCTTGAGTTAATTGAATATAATGCAAATCTGTCATTATGATATAGAAGGTCTAACTAACATTTTTGTAAAGTTTGATATTAAAACTTGTTGTTTAGGCCCTCAGTGGCCCTAAGTTGCTGAGGCTGGCCTAAAACTTGCAATCCTCCTGCCTTAGCCTCCCAAGTCGCTGGGATTACAGGCATGTGCCACCGAACCAGGCTAAAACTTATTCTCATAATACATAATCAGAAAATATGCAAATGTACTCAAATTATACATAATATATGTGGGTACATATACATGAATGTGTGTGTATATACTTAAATACCAAAAAGGCAGCTAATATAGCATGCAATAACAATAAACCAATGCATGAATTAGGTCTTTCTTCTTATTTGTAATGAAAAATAATCACCTGTTTGTTTAAGTAAAAATGTATGATCAACACACCAAAAACAGCACTGACTGAATTTAGGCTCCTTTATCAAGAATATTTTATTAATACAAATAAAAAGAATTAACAAAATCCTAATGGACAAGTCTCCTAATTGCTCTTTCTCCATCATATAGCCTTTTAAACTGAGTTAGGACAGCTAAAAGAAACACTGACTAAATACCATATTAGTTCAATTATCAGTTAACTGTAAACTTTGTAGATTGTATGAATACTCCCAGAATTTCAATTAACTTCCATAAAATTAACATTGAAATTTATATTTGAAAAATAGACAAAAAAAAGTGAAATGAATGGTCAGAAGAACACATGAAAATGTAATGGGTAAAATGCATGTTGCCAACATTTACTGTAAATGAAGTAATTGGAGTATCACCAGACTATAATATTTACAGAGAATACACAAAAATTGTGCACATTCCAGGTGAAATATGTATATAAGCTATTAAAAAAGCATATACTAACCAGCCACAATGACACTGTCATTACGTGCTGGACCAAATTTCAGTGTCATCTCATGTTTATGTTTATGGACAGCCAAATGATCCTCGTTGGTAAAACGCTGTGGCAGAAAGTTTTAAAATATAGTTAAGATTTTCAATTTGATCAAATAAGTAAAATGATAAGGAAATTCATTTCCACAACATGTAAAACCACCATTAACAGTGACATAGCAGTTTGTCAACTATAAAAGGATCTACTGTTAGTATAGACAAGCATACTATATTTCAAATAATCACAGAGAAAGTCATTACCCAATGAAGAGCAATACTAATATATTACTAAATCACATAATTTGAGAGCATTTAAAAATAAAATCTAAGGCAAAGAAACTTTACATAAATTTCATTTGGATACTAAAACCAGATCATTATTATTTTTTTGTTATATCAGTGTAGAAATATATACTCCATGGCACAATGACTTTTAAAGAAAATTCTATATTTAGCTAGACTTAAGTTTACTTACCACTTTTTTACTGAGAAAATTTATTTAAAAATATTACTACTGAACAAATAAAAAATAAGTCATGATTTCTGTTACCACATAAAAAACAATGTCTTTGTTATAATCTAGTAAAGAAACAGCAACCAATACAATGATAAATCGGTTCATCTAAATAAAGTGTTTAGCTTACAGTAGCTAAAGTGATTTTTTAAACTATGGGGCTTATATTAAAAGTGAAGCAAAATTATTTAAAGGCTATCTATCACATTTTTTCCCTTCACTCAACCTGGATAAATCCTGCATATTAAATGTGACACTTATGAGTACAATATAATAAATACATTGTTTAAATATTCTCTTTATGAAGATGCTCCTTATCAAGCAACATTTATAACTACCTCTTGTTATTTCAGAGCAATTATTTTTTTGCCCAATTCCTGGTTTGGAGCATTAATTTAAAAATGTTAAGTTAATGGATCTAAACTCACTCTTTAGTCTATAACTTTACAAATAGGGATGTTAAAATTTTATATATAACTAACTTGGTTTTCCCAAATTACTAAAATGGATCTCCCCCTATTCAATTCACTATATCCTTTCATGTAACTAGTAACAGTAGCTTTAGGCTAACCCTAAAACAATGTAAAACAATTAAATATTTTCCTCCACTATATATATATATATATATATTTTTTTTTTTTTTAAAGAGAGAGTGAGAGAGAGAGGGGGACAGAGAGAGAGAGAATTTTAACATTTACTTATTTTTTCTTAGTTCTCGGCGGACACAACATCTTCGTTTGTATGTGGTGCTGAGGATCGAATTCGGGCCACACGCACGCTAGGCGAGCGCACTACCGCTTGAGCCACATCCCCAGCCCCCACTATATATTTTATTCTAATTTTTTTCAAGCATGCCATGGAGTACCTATATCATCACTAGCCCTCAGCCTACAGATGTAAAAAGCCTTTATCTATGTCCATTATGCTCTGTGTAACACATTGGTTATAGCACCTATCATAATAGCATATATATTTTCATGTTCTTTTTAAGTAGGCCAAGCTCCTACTATCATCCTCCAAATATAACATGTAGTAGTATGCTAGTAGTATGCTTTAGCTATATTTTATCATTTAGTCTTTAGATTACTTCACACCAGGGGAAAATTAACTATTATTTTATGGTCCTCAGAACCTTCCTTTATTTCCATCAAAGGCAATCTGGTCAAAATTTAGTTATTAAGAAAAGACTGACAGATGGATAGATGTCCATTTTCTAACAAACACTTATAAAAGTAACTATAATATATGAAAAAATTTATTTTTGCAGAATCTATGTGAACTACTTTCCAGCCAAACTAAATGGTTTATTCTAAAAGTAAGTTTTTAAGAAAAATTTTTAATGATACTATAAAAGTGTTCAGATGCAACAATACTTCTGTCCCTTGCCTTATTTATTCATTAACTATTCAGACATTTACTGAGCATCATCTAGGGGCACTCAGACAATCTTAACTTTTCCCCACTTAGGAACTATCTTCCTTTTACTTTATCATTATAAGAATCCCTCCCAACTTTTGGGGAATAAGTATTGGTGACACTTTTGACAAGACTGCTAAATAACAAAACTCCTGGAGAATGAACATATCTGTAGTTTACTAACATTATTTTATTGCTTTTAATATTTTGTATAACAATTTTAAATGTATGTGTCTTATATTCTACACTAAAAGTATATTAAAGCAAGATTGATTTTATGTTCCAAAGAATGTCACAATGTAGTTTTTCCACTAAAGGAAATCATTAAATATTTGTGAATGAATTCATTTTAGTATAGGTTTCAGATTTTAAAACTGTAAAGTTGGTAAAATTAATAAGAATAACTTACAAATTTTTCTTCTAGGAATTTTATTCTATCTGTATTCTCTGCTTAGTTTTGACCACATATATTCAAATCAAAGATCAACTGGGGGGGCTGGGGTTGTGGCTCAGTGGTAGAGCACTTGCTTTAGCATGTATAAGGAGGCACTGGGTTCGATCCTCAGTACCACATACAAAAAGAAACAAATAAAATACAGTTATTAAAAAAAAAAAAAGTAACTGGGGCTAGGTATACAGCTCAGGAACTGGGATTGTAGTTCAGTGGTAGTGTTTGCCTACTATGCTCAAGGTCCTGAGTTCAATCCCCAGCACTTCAAAGAGAAAGAAAAGGAAGGGTGGAAGAGACACAGAAACTACCTATAAAGCAAATAACACTGTCTTCTTTACAAAACAAATATGAGAGCACTAAGCTTTATCCTAAGTGAAAAGGAGTGGTTGTAACAAATACTCAAGATCATATGAACTAACATTAAAAGAAGAAATCCAAGAAAGATGCATTTAAAAACTCTCAGGGGATCCACAGATTGAATTTACCTAAATGTTGTTTATAAAGGGATTAGTGATCATACACTAATTTATATACACACACTTTCTGATGTGAAGGACAAAATATACTCAATTTGGCCCTTGATACAGGTGACTCTGACCCTGGCTATATCTTAAAACATTTAAAAGAAAATTAAAATCAGCATGAAGAAGCAATCTGGTCAAAATGTGTGTTGTGCATGTACACATACGTATTCTTTTTTCAACAAATACTTAAAAGTAACTATTACATGCTAAAATGTGTGTGTGTGTGTGTATGTGTGTATGTGTGTATTTGCACCATCTATGTGAACTGCTTCAAAACTAAAGGGAAGATAAATTTTCTAGAAAAATTATAGTGATCTTACTAGCAATACCAACACTGAATTCATGTTAATTTTTTTCTTCTAGGCAATTCAAAGCACAGCCCCAATGCAAAATGCTATAGAAATTCACAAAAATACAAGTATTTTGTTAAGCAACAGAAGCTTGAAATCTATTACTCAATAAACAATGAGAAAAGCAGTGAAAAAAAAGTGTGTGTGTGTGTTTTCTGTTGTTGTTGTTATTAGATTCCTGATAGGTAACCATTTCTCTTAGAAAGTTAAAAAGGAAGGATAACCTGACAGATGGGATAAAGGTGAATCAGTTGTTTCCCATAATAAATTAATGTAAGCAACTAATGTAAACTCTGCTGAGAAATCTGTGTTTACAAGGCTCTACTACTCGCCAGAATTAACTTCATAAAAAAATCAGTCATTCTATATTTATCTATTCACTCACATCTACAATATACTGATTATTATTCCTAGTTAACATATTAAATAGACACAAATAAGTTTTCTAGTTATCAAGCCAATAGCTCATTTTACTACCTCTTTCACTAGTTGAAGAACTTGAAAAGCAAGAAGTTATTGATTAAAAGAAGCCTGCCTTAACTGAGACTTTAGAGTAAATATAAAGCCTATCTATCTATCTATACTTTGTAAAACTGCTTATAATGTACATTTTACCAAAGAAGCTATTTTCAATGAAAATATCACCAAGGCAAATACATTAGAAATAAAACAAAAGAGTACCAATATTAAATCAATTTTCACTAAATTTTTTCTATCTCTTACAGCATTCCATAGAACATTGCTTTAATACAACTGAAATTAACAGGAGTCTCATTGTGGAATACCTAACAGTTAATTAGGCATAATAAAAAAAGATTTAATAGCAAGAATCATCAGGTGAACTCTTTGTACCAATTTCTAAAGTCTTTCTCTTAGGTAATATTAGTAACAAAATACATTTTAAATTGTAAAAAGTCATTTGAAATTTTCAACTTAACTAATTCCATTAAGTGTGTTAAAGCTAAAATTAATACTGGTAATAATATTACTGCTTACTGATAAGAAAAATGATTTGCACTACCAACACCAAATTGGTGCCTGTAAAATTAATTCTTATTTACAACCTTCTCTCTCTCTCTCTCTCTCTCTCTTTACACACACACACACACACACACACACACACACTGGAGATTGACCCCATGGGTGCTCTACCACTGAACTACATTCCCAACCCTTTTTATTTTTAATTTTGAGACAGAGTCTCATTAAGTTGCTTAGGGCTTTGCCAATTGCTTATGCTAAACTTGAACTTGTGATCCTCCTGGACTCAGCCTCCAGATCTAAGCCACTGGGATTATATGAGTAAGCCACTAAGCATGAACTAATTTTGTTTTGAATGAGAGGCAGAATTTAGGAAATGCTCCAAAATGTTAATGAAAGTTCTTTTTGAATTTCTTCTTCTTCTTCTTTTTTTTTCTTTTTGCAGTACTGGGCACTGAACCCAGGGCCTTCTACATGCTAGGCAAGCACTCTACCACTGAGCTATATCCCTAGCCCTTGTTTCATTTTTTTAAAGACAGTATCTCACTGAATTGCCCATGTTGGCCTCAAACCTTTATCCTTCTGCCTTAACCTCCTGAGTAGCTGGGATTACAGGCATGCTCCAATACTTGTGGTTTTGCTTTGAATTATTTTGTCGTTTTAAACTTGTCGACATTTTCTGTGGTACTTTTATAATTAAAAGGAAATAATTTTTTTAATGTCAAGAAAAAATACACATATACAAGGAACAGCATTCAAGTAAGAATCTCTTGGTATCTTAGCATGCTATTTAGGGATGACTCATTATATATGTTACACAAGAATATGCTTG